TTCCAGCAACTTTGTTTTTTTTTCTTTCCAAATCCTCATTGTTAAGACCATTGAGAATGTTATGAACTCGAATTAATCACCCCTCATTCTTCTGAACTCTAGCAAAAACAAGCCCAACTTGCACAATCTTTCCTCCTAGGACAACCTGCTGATTCCAGGTATCAATCTAGTAAACTTCCTGTAAACTATTTCTTATCCATTCACATCCTTCCTCAAATAAGGAGAACTGAACCACACACAATATTCGAGATGTGGTCTCACCAATGCCCCTATATAATTGAAATATAACATGTTTATCTTTATGTTCAATTTCTCTCAAAATAAATGCTAGCATCCCATTAGACTTCCTGATCATGTGCTGTGCCTGGTTGGAAGGGGTGAGATCAGACAGGGATTTGAAAACACAGTTGAAAATTCTCAAAATAAGATATTGCTTGCATGTTACAAATATGACTGTGAACTAAAGTGGAATGATGAATGATGGTAGGGAATGGAACTTGGTACAGGTTATGATACAAATGGCAGAGTTTTGGATGATCTCATATTTATGAAGAATGGAAATTAATCCAGGAATGCAGTGGAGTAGTCAGATCTAAGATAATAAAAGTATTTGAGCTGAGACAGGGACATAGTGGAGCAATATTACAGAAATAAAGAACATAAGAACATAAGAACGAGGAGCAGGAGTAGGCCATCCGGCCCATCGAGCCTGCCCTGCCATTTAATAAGATCATGGCTGATCTTTTTGAGACTCAGCTCCACTTACCCGCCCACTCACCATAACCCTTAATTCGTTTACTTTTCTAAAATTTATCTAGCCTTGCCTTAAACACATTCAGCGAGGTAGCGTCAACTGCTTCACGGGGCAGGGAATTCCACAGATTCACAACCCTTTGGGTGAAGAATTTCCTTCTGACCTCAGTCCTACATCGGCTTCCCTTTATTTTGAGGCTATGCCCCCTAGTCCTAGTTTCACCTGCTAGCGGAAACAACCTCCCTGCCTCCACCTTATCTATTCCCTTCATAATCTTATATGTTTCTATAAGATCTCCCCTCATTCTTCTGAATTCCAATGAGTATAATCCCAGTCTACTCAGTCTCTCCTCATAATCCAACCCTCTCAACTCTGGAATCAACCGAGTGAATCTTCTCTGCATCCCCTCCAGTGCTAGTATATCCCTTCTCAAGTAAGGAGACCAAAACTGCACACAGTACTCCAGGTGTGGCCTCACCAGGACCCTATACAGCTGCAGCATAGCCTCCCTGTTTTTAAACTCCATCCCTCTAGCAATGGCAGACAAAATTCCATTTGCCTTTTTAATTGCCTGCTGCACCTGCAATCCTACTTTTAGCGATTCATGCACAAGGACACCCAAGTCCCTCTGCACAGCAGCGTGCTGCAATTTTTTACCATTTAAAACATAGTCCATTTTGCTGTTATTCCTACCAAAGTGGATGACCTCACACTTATCAACATTGTACTCCATCTGCCAGACCTTTGCCCACTCACTTAGACTATCTAAATCCCTCTGCAGACTTTGTGTCTTCTGCACACTTTGCTCTACCACTCATTTTAGTGTCATCTGCAAATTTTGACACACCACACTTAGTCCCCAACTCAAAATCATCTATGTAAATTGTAAACAAATTGTAAACAAATAGAATTAAGTGACGTTGGGGTTGGTGCAGAAATGTGGTCAGGATCTCAGGTTTGGGTCAAAGATTGAATTAATAAATGTACTTGTAGAATAAACTTGAGGTAGGAGTAGTATACACCTCAAGAATTTATTGTGAATAGATGTTGCTGTTGGCTTTGTCTTGTGTTAAAACGTCTTTACTGAACATAGATTTATTAACTTCTCTGTACGAGAAATACAGTGACAGTTTCTCAACAAGTAAAACCTTTCCTCATTTAGAGGCTCTTGGGTTTTAACATTGCCTACCGATTTTTTTCTCTATCATGTAACTTCTTTATAATGTAAAATTGCTTGAGTATCATTCTGCTGATAACCTTGTTATAGTGTGAATGAAGTATAATTTGTAGTGGTGAGAGGCAATGGTTAAAAGTACACCAGCAATTTTGTTTGGAGATAATTACCATTTACCCACACAAGGAGATGCTTTGTGGCAGTCAGCTGTGACCTGAAATCGGCACAACGTTTTGCTTTGTGCACACAGTTGATTGTATATAGACAGAAAAACAACTTGTCACCCTCACTGATTTCAGTCCTTGAATGCAATTCTATCAGGTTATTTGAAAATCAGTGGCTCAAGTAGAGGAGGAAAATGAACATCAGGCATATAAACAAAAACAGAAGTTGCTGGAAAAGCTCAGCAGGTCTGGTAGCATCAGTGAAGAGAAATCAGAATTAACGTTTCAAGTCCGTTTCAGAACTGAGGTGGACAGCCAATCAAGTGATCAACTAATGATCACTTCCCACTCCCATCAATACATCTTATCAGCTTCAAAAGGGATTGTTGCTGTGTTGGGAGATTTTCAGGAAAACCCAGATACCCTCTTAGCATTTTCTCCTTTATGTTGCCTCTGTGGTTCATGGGCAAACCCACTGGCAGCAATGGCTGCTGTTCATGGCTCACTGTCACTGGGAGTGTGCACTGTCCCTATAATTGCTGAAGTCTACCTGCCTGGGTCCCGCGCAGTAAATGAAACAAAAACTTAGCCTTTGAAGGTGCCTGAGCGTGGATGTTGTGTTTTCTTCCTTCTGCAGCCTCAACATTGGCTCCTTCTATTAACGGTGTTGTCAGGCCCCAGCAGTTTATTGGAGCAGCACCTCAGGGAGGCAGCTGGATTGCCATCACAGTGATGGATTTTTAATTGGCCATTGAATGTAAAACGCTGTCCAGGGTCCTGACACATGTCTGCGCAGGCTCAGGTCTCTGTTTCAGTCCCAGTGGTGGGGCTGCCTTATTTCTGATGAAAGCCGGCCCCGTTTAGGTTAATTTTTGTTTTACCCAGAAGTGCTCTTACATACGACTGAATTTTTTTTATGCCCCACCACCAAATCACCCGTGGTATATTTCATCTACTATCCATCACTACTAAATCACCCATGCTGCTATTTAATCAATTACATGCAAATCTCAGCAAGGGCAGTGCATAAACACCAAAGGTAAAAGAAAAGTAGGCAGAGAAGATGGGGCTTAAACCAAAATGGAATTGGGGAGTGGGAAGAAAAGGATCTTTACCCTCTGCTGTGCCCACTCCTCTCTGAAGCTTTGAGAATACTGATGGACACCACATGCTCTGTCTCCAAGGCAACCAGACATGAGGGTAGGCGTGGGAAAGGGTAGACATTCGACAACTATGACTCCCTCCACTGTCTGGACCTGTTAATTGCCATTTTGGCCAGGCCCAAGAGCAGACCCATGAGGAGGTCCTCTGACCCCTCTGCATCAAGTGCTCAAAGATCAGCAGCACAGAGCTGAAGTTAACCAAAAGCACAAATAAGATTTTGAAATAACGAAAAAGGGGATGCAACTGCCCACAACCAGGATATGCATGATCCCAGGGACTCCACACTACCCTGTCTGAATTAAAATTTTCTAATTAACCTGCTCAGGAGCAGACGGAGCCTGAATGTAGGGATATTCTCACGTCACTGCACAAGTCCCTATTTGGATTGTTTTTCCATTTTGTGCAGGGTTAATGCCGCTGTGGTGCCCACCTGTGTGGAAGGCAAGTTTCTTTTCATATGCACTCAAGATATATTCTAATCAACATATTCAGAGATGTTATTATACACCACTGGAGCTGGTGGGACTTGAAGATGGACCTCCAGGCTCAGAGATGGGGATGCTGCAACTGCACCACAAGAGCCCCTGTCTGGATTATTTTCCCCTCTGTTTTTAACCTATTTTTCTAATGAACCTGTTTTTGTTTGAATTATTTGTTCTGTTTTTATTTAACTTACCTTTCTAATCAACCTGTTCAGAGTTGTTATTACATATCCCTGGAGTAAGTGGGGCTTGAACCCATGCTTCTCCATTTACGGATAGGGATTCTACCTCCGCACCACAAGAGCCCCTGTCTGGATTTTTTTTTTCTTTTTTTAAACTTTTTTTCTAATCAATCTGTTCCCTGTCTGAATTAATAGTAAAACATTGTAATTCACATCCAGTGCATTGTTTCATATTATTTATTCCTCCATTTGTTACCCTTTTCCATCGTGGCAAAATTGCC